ACAATAAAACTAAAGTACTTCACAATAATATTATTTGGAACCGCACTAACCGCTGAACGTCAACTAAAATAGCTATTTTGTAATCTTATTTAAATTCAAAACGATAGTGCCCGCATACAGTTTTAAGTAATTCGTCACTAATTCATAAATAAACTTTTAAAAAATATAAGATGACATCACGTACTCTGATTCCAAAATGTGTAGCTAAAGCCTCCTTCTTATGGAGTATCTGATATAACCAAAGTACAACAACACCCGGACCGAGACAATACATTGAAGGGACCGGGAATCAAAAAGGACAACAGAGTTGGTGACACCTTGAAACCGGCGCGCGGCGTTCGAACAAGTTCCATTTCAGACAGCTATATTCCAAAAAATTACTAAAAAAAATAAAAAGACGACTTCAAATTAAAATCACTGAAGAGCTAAAAATAATTGAAAACTAACTTACCATTCCTCGTAAATACCTAAGCTATTATTTATATTTTATTGCCAATCAAAGCAAATGGCGGCCTTAATGCTTAGGCATTCTCTATCAGTCTACCAGTAAGGATTAACAGAGAATTCGTAAGCTAGTGTCATTGATGGGGAATTAAAGAATCGTAAATTTGAAATACGGATGTACAAATATACATAAAGATACCAATACATACAACATACATATCAATACACAAACATAAATAAATAAATATATAGGATGCACATACATACACTTAAGGAAAAATTTGACAATGTCAGATCACGGTAACAGGTAACGCAGGTACATTTCAAGTAGTATTCGCGGACGTTCTCGTGAATACTAACCTATTCAGTGCATTTCTTAAGTCCAAAGGTAGTGCAATCCATAGGCGTAGTGAAAGAAAAACACCGAAACAAATATAGAATAATCTACAGAAGTCTAGAGCACCAGATTAGAACTGAAGCGAAGTTGTCTTTGGTGAGAAGGAGCTAGGTTCTAAAACCTAGACCTCAAATACTCAGGTGCTCGTGGATCGTATAGAATAGTGAAGAGCATACCATTCTTAAATTCCTACGTTCACGGATAGGCAACCATTTGAGTTAGTTACGAAAGTCGGAGATGTGGTCGTATTTACGTAGACCGAAAACAAAGCGAATAGTGTTATTTAGAAGACGATCCAACGTATCAAGAAATATTTGATTAACGTTAGAAAAAAAACATCAGCATAATCAAAGCGGGGGTGTGAACAAGGGCTTTCACGAGAGTAGCCTTAGCGCTGGACGGGAGAAAATTCTTCAGTCTAAGATACTAGCCATGTGGCTCTCCCAAAAAACGGTAGAGTCCAGGACAAGTACCAAGTTTCTAACAGTAGAAGCATAAGGGATCACCACATCATTATACGATAAGGCCCGAATGGCGCTCAAATTTAACCGAGATATCTGCCTTGGACTGCCAATGATGATGATCTAACATTTGTCTGGGTTGACTATGATCCCAAAGCTCTGTGACCACTCGCTTTAGGTTTTGATTCAGCAGTGAAATTAGTGGGTAGGTGGTTAACCTACCTTAGGACGGGTCCTCCTTGCTGGATACCGGACTAATCCATCCACGTGAGGTGAACCACAGCGGGTTTTATCAGGTAGGCCACCCACATCAACCTGCCCTTTTCAGGGCGGAATGGTCGGAAAGGCCTGTTTTGAGGCTTAAGGTTGCATTTAGGTTGCGTTATGAAAAAAAAATTACTTAACCTAAATACATTCATTTTTGGACTCGGTGCCCACTGCGCCGCGCTTCTAATACGAGTAGTATGGTGCAGCGATTTACGGTGCAGTGCGCATTACAGATCACCAAACAAAACACAGTGTGGAGCAGATGGAATTCAGTATATTTTTTGTGTTTTAGCGGGCACCGACTCCAAAAATGACTGTAGGTAAGTTATGTTCCCACCACAGATAACCCTACTAATCGCCTAGGTACTTACGACGTATTGTTGAGTTAATTTTCAGCTTATTAGTGTTTTTAATTTTATCCTTTTTAGTATAACCTAATTCAGTATGTGGCGACTGATATGTAGCAACATCTAATTCATCGCACTGACATCGCCACAACGGTCCCCGGGCTAACAACACCTAGCTCGGAGGGAGACAATTATCCTTTAGTCTCCCTGGCCAGTTGTCCCCATCATCAAGTAGGAACCCAACCTTCAACCATAAGGTTCCTAAAAGTAGATTTTTATAACAACAAAGGCAATTTTTGATGAGTTTCCTGGAATAGCTTCCACGTTGATGACCAGACTTTGACCAAATTTCTATGGGACCAACCGAACACTACTCTTTTGAAATCGGCCTATAAATACCGGAAATATGCGATAACATACATAAAAAAATCTTTGTTTGTAGTCGATTAAAAACACACGACTTCACACATATGTATGAAAAATAAATCTCATGCAGTTCTTATTAATAAAAATGTTGCTGAAACTTATTTAAATAGATTCTTTATTTGCATCATATGTTTATCATCAACCTTAGAATGATGTGGGAGAACCGATGGGAGTAGGATGCGCAATTAAAATAAAGATTCATTTACTAAAATATACAAACATGTGATATAGTAGGGGAAGATTGGCACCATTCATACACTTTTTAGTCAATGATTTTTAAAATATTGATAATCAAAGATAAATTACTCAATAACTTATTAAAACATAAAGCATACTTTCTGCTCCTTATTTAAAAAGTTTAAAGCCGATATCTTGTATAATATATCAAAGGATTGAATTTTACTAAAAGCTTATGAATGTCCAAATCTACCCCTATTACGGGGTACAATCGTACATGGGCCGGGGAACATTCAGACAGTGTGGTAACTTCATATATATTAAGTAAAATAACAAATTAATTAAAAAAATAGTTTTCATTGATCTCAAACTTATCAACGATGTAATAAACCAAACGACATATGCCTATATGTTGTTTAGAGTCTAACTATCTTTTTTACGAGAACAGTGCATCCATTCTATGTCAGCGAAGCCAGTTTCATAACAATTTTGCAAACATTTATATTTCAAAACTTTATCATAATCATTTGATAGTGTTGTGACTTCCAATATCGTGATTCCGAAATGTGTTTTTGAATTTTTGTAATTGATTAGTCTTTTCAGTAAAACTATTTGGTATTTACTATATAAAAACTCCTTTTACAGACCCAAAAAACTCATTTAGTTAATATTGGGAATGTGTCTGCCTTTTCTTCTTAAAATTCCGATCATTTTTCTAAATTTTCTGATATAATAATAAATATTGTTAGCACACTGGGGGTTAGGGGATACATATACACGCGTACGAGTATGCCCTTGCTGGAAATGTACGAACGTGCCCCGAAGATCAAGAATAAAATTATTTTTTCTAACACAAAACCCACGTAGAAAAATACACAAAATAGATATATTATTATTATCTTAATCGTATTCACTTACGATTAAGCAATAATCCAGTAAAATTTGACGTGTAATTAAAGTACGTAAGATCCAAAAACATTAACAAAATATTTACTATGAGCATGCCAAAACACTTTAAGTTCTCTAGTTTCGCTCGCAGTGGCTGCATGTGTGGCTAACTTCGTGGACAACTGGCAGTCGCCGGCACCTATCCACTGACACAAAGTCGTAATAAATAGACTTTTCTACAAGATGTAGTAGTGACTGTATGAAGGTTCCCCGTGTACGAATGGTGCCAAACTTCCCCTATATGTGTATATATAACTCATATAACTCATAACGCTCATAACGCATAAAAAAGGCAGGGGCTCAGGCCTTCCTTATGGATGGTTAAAGAGGATGGGCCTGGACCCTCCACGCTGGCCCAATGCGGGTTGTAACGCATTGGGCCAGCGTGCATAACGCTATACGCATTACAAAATACATCAGTTCATCAACATGCCAACTGTATGAGTATTAATTTTCTCATTACCAAAGTATTTTTTGTAAAAAAATATTTTTTATTAATTTTAGGGATCTATAAAAAAATATGTTGATGTGGATAACGTAGTAGGTAGTGATCTTTTTCAATGATAAAATATGTCATCTAAGTATTTCTGCATTCAGTTATTTTATTTTGTTAATAAAAAAAAATACTGCTGACCCGATTTCGGACTACAATTCGCCGAAAAATCAGTGAACATGCATAAAAAATACTATAGACCCTTCGCTCGTACATAGAACCTTCGCCTTTTCTATTTTAAAGTACTTCTCTAGGCGATAGTCCCCTAACTGTAATTTTTGAATACATTTTCAATTTTAGAGTTTGGTTGTTATTTTGAAAACATATGAGGCAGATGAGGTAAAGTCACGAATTTTACCTTAGGTCTGCAATAAGTGAGTGATAGATAACAAAAAAAATGAAATAAAAAATGTTACAATCCCAGTATCGCATTATTTATTATATATTATTATTGCATGAGTGATTGAACTGTGCAGAACCTCTGCAGAATACTGAGATAATTTTTGTTATCATCAAAACTTCCTAATTTATGCCTGAGTAGCAGATATGGGTTAAGCCAACATTTTCTTTTGGTCATACCCGATGTTACGGCAAGGGCAACATCGATTTTTAGCAGCAACAAAAACACGAGTGCCATGATCGGCTTTTCAACACTGACTGACTGAGTTAGTATTCCTTAACCTAATCCTATGCAGATGCAGTGTAAACAGAGCTTTATTTTGTTAACGTCGGGGAAATGCTTTTGGACTGTCCCTGCCACCTGGCAAGCAACAGGGGGTGTGTGACTCTCCTCCGTGGAGCCAGCAACTACCCAATAGATCCTCGGAGGCTTACCCACCAAAGTAGGAGTTTTGGTGCACCCTTTTATGGGAGATGAGACCGGGAAGCCGTGGACGAATCGCCAGGACACTCATCCCCCGTACTGAACCATTAGTCTCCTCGAGGTCCTCTCCCAGATAGACCAGGCCGAGCAATTCAGGAGTGGCTGCCAAACCACCACTGTACATGTGTGTGCTATACTCTAACTAAACAACAGATTATTTATTAATTGTACTGATAAAATAAATATTATCTTTCAAATTATCAACTAATCATTTTGTGGCTAGTTGACTTATTTTCAATGATTTTAACATCACATTGATAAAGAGCCAGAATTATTTTACATAAGAATTTATAAAATATTAATCCTGTGCCCGTGAAACGGAACGTCAAAATCAAGCAAAAGTAAACAAAAGCGTAAAAGTGACGTTAGTTTGAAAATTATTACAAACAACCGAATAAAAATGTAAATATTTCATAACCCACTGTAAAACAACGTTGATTGATTCGTGCAGTTCTAAATTTAAAAAATGCGGTACTATAAGTATCTAAAAAATATAAATAAATTACGAAGTGAAAGTTAGGTTGAGCCAATTCCACAGGAAATGAAATGTTACAAGGAAATTTTTTTTAAGTGAAATTACGTTAGAATCATGGGTACAACATACAGAGAATTGTTTAAATTGTACGATTTGATACAATGTGGCGATATAAGGTACGTATTTATCATATTTTGTGCGTACAATTTGTTCATTGCATTCAATGATACCTGATACTTGCAACTAATCTTGTAATTCGATCATTTTTTTTTGCTACCGAGTGCCGACTTTAGGAGTTTGTCTACTAAATTCACCAATAGAATGATAAAAATATCACAATGATGTCATTTCAGTATATGGGAATTGCATAATCTTTTTCTTATTTGTGATAATTCCATGCAATAGCACTAATTAAAAAAGGTTTCTTATGGGGTCAACCTTATTAGAATGATAAATTAAAAATACGTACTCTTATCTGTACTATTTTTTAAAGGGGAAAGGTTTGATTGTTTTCTTTACACTGAATAGGTTCTGAAATTACTGGACCAATTTAAAAAATTTACATCCTATGGAGTTGATTTAAGCTATTATTAACGCATGCAAACTCGCAGCAAAACAGCTAGCTATCTATAAAAGAATACAGTTTTGATACTTGTATCAATATATTGATGATGGAGAGCAAACACATAGTAACCCGCAAAACCAAAATTGTCCTTCAGAACAGAAAAACTTTCATTTTTTTCGATAAATAATTCCTTTAAACTTCCATAGTAATAAATAAGGTGTTCCTTAGTCAATTTATATGGAAATAAGATATATATATTTTTTTATATAAAGATTTTCCATTTTGAACATCAATTTTGGTTTTGCGGGTTACTACGTGTTTGCTTTCCAGCGTCAATATCATAATATAGGGATGACAACTAATTTTTATTTGTTTGTCTATCAGGTAGATTGTTGAAAAATATATGTTTTTCATAATTCCACTTTGTACATCAATTTTGGTTTGGCAGGTTACTACGTGTTTGCTTTCCAGCGTCAATATCATAATATAGGGATGACAACTAATTTTTATTTGTTTGGCTATCAGGTAGATTGTTGAAAAATATATGTTTTTCATAATCATTAAATTATGGCAATATATTGAGTTAAAATGTTACATGACGTCATGTCATCCATATTAATTAGCTTTTATTAATTACAGGTCAATAGATAGTTTTCTGAATAACTGCCAGATTAATATCAATGAGGTTTTGCCATGCAAAGGTATTGGTGTGCTGCATCTGGCAGTAGGAATAGAACCATTGGAAAAGTCCAGAATATGCACTGAGCTAATTTTAAAGAGTGGTGGAGATCCTAATTTATGGTAATTAAGATTATGAACATTGTATAGCTATACATATATAATCTATGAGAGCCAGGAAAACCATAGACTTTATTTAGGCTAGAAAGGTTGAAAGATGTACTATGGTTCTGTCAGTGAGTCGCAATACATCTTTTAGATAGTAGTGACTTAAAGTTCAGTACTGTAATTAAGACATAGAAATGACAGATTCATAATATTTAAAAAAAATGAATAATTAAATCGATCAAAGTTTCTGTACCTATTAGATAATCATGTAGGTTGTACAGTTGAATATTGTTAAGGCATAATAATGATCCTAGTTTAGGGACAAAGTATCAGCCTTATCAATGATATAGGGCCCCTAAGGCCTTAATGAGTAATTTTTATCCTTTATTGGACTCCCCAACTAATTTTGTCCCCTCGAAAGCCCGCTACTACACTGGCCTAGCCAGTTGATAATAAATTCTTATAAGCTTTCTAGAAGTACTGTCTATACTTCCACTCATTGAAAAGTGAGGATTGTAAGGAAAATCAATCTCAAGTCCCTGTTCCCATTCCAATTTCATTTTGTTTGGAAAAAACAAATGTATATGCTGTTGTATAATATATTTACTTTTTATTACTATAAGTGTTATATTTATAATGAAACTAACTTTTTGTTTATATAAACTTAGGTTTTAATTTTAAGCGTTATTCTTTATCTCTCTTGTTTTCGGATTTCATGTGTATTTTTATAGACAGACAAAGTTATCTAGATAGACTCTTCAATATTAACAGATTGAGGGCAACAAGTTTGTTTTTTACCTCTAGACTTATCAGGTTAAAGTCATAAGATGAGATTAGTTAGTAAACTAGGCTATAGGTGTTTTCGTCATGTAGGTATGAAATCTAGACATTTTTCTCATGGAATGTAAATATCCAACTTTGAAGGACACTGGGTATATAAAAAATACAAAATGACGCGTTTTACATTTTATTTACTGGTTATGCTCAAACTAAATTTAGAGTTTGTTTTTCAGTGGTTTTATTATTTAATTATGATAAAATTAAAAACAATAATTAAATAACAAAATGGAAAACTAATTAAAGTAAGATGTAAATAACCCAAACTGTCAAAAAATGATATCAAAAATCTAATTATAGGTACTGGTCTGATTGCAGATGGATAAATAAATAAAAAGAAATATATTCTTTATATTTCAATGTCTTATATTTCAGTAATGACGATGGTGTGACCCCAGTTCACATAGCAGCCATATGGGGTCGCGTTGATAATTTAAAGCTGCTTATAGGCTGCGGCGGCGATCCTTCCCGCCATGACTTCGACGGGCATTCAGCGTTTGACTACGCTGCTAGGGAACAGCAATGGGCTGTATACGATTACCTCCACAATGTTGTGGATCAACTCGACGACTCGTTCGGATCTCAGTGCGGTTATACTTTAGATTTAGGTATAATATTTTTTTTTATAAATTTTCTACTTCCATGTTATACCTAATAATATTTTACGTTTTTATTGTCACAGATAAAGTATTAGTGACTACAGACCAAATGGTCGCTGAATACGAACCAGTAGATAAAAATATTCTGTGTGATAAAACTACACCAAGAAAATCAGATATGGTGCGCGATTGGTGTGAAAAAAGTAGCAGGGTGATAAACAAACTTTATCCCACCATACTAGGTGATACATACTTAATAGAAAATGAATCAGTACCATGGAAAAGCAATGATTTTACCAAAAACATTACATGTGATCTCAGTAATGATAATGATAATATAGATAAATCAGACCTTAATGCAACAAACAATACCTTTAAGACTTGTTTGTCGAAATATGTACCTTACGACGTAGAAATTAGTGGTGTTCAACATTTGAATTTAACTACACAACAGCCAGATTGTTCATGCAGCGACAATACCAGTACAGAAATGAGGAAAAACAGAATGAGTATCTATGAGAACTTTTCACTGCCCGGTTCCCCAAACAGTATCACTCATAAAAACTACAAGACAAAGACTAGCTTGAAGCAGTGCAAGAAAGACTGTCTCGCATCCCTATGTGCTGATATGAAACATTTAACCTTTGATAATTCATCTTTAATGTCTGAAGATGCTTCACATGTTGATTTGGACAAAGCTTTAATCGTTGTTCAAAATAAAACGAATGAGTTTCTATATAATAATATTACAAACGTTAAGAATATTAACGGTACAAACACTAGACGATCTTCGGCCAGTAGCGGAGTGAGTAGCAACTGTTCCAGCGGTAGCATCATCATAGCGAGCATGCATGAGGAATATAAATATGAAGACAAAGAGGAAGGTGTGGTGTTGATAGAAAAAAGATTACTGACGTCATCTGTAGTGTAAGTATATGTATATAATTAGATATTAATAAAAACTTTTAAGGTGGACTACCACTGTTTGCACACAACGGATGATCGGTACTTAACAGTTATCGTTTCTTTTAGCACGTAACGCAACCGCTATCATATCGCCAATCACTGAATTCAAAACAAAACGTTATTTCCACAACGCTATAAAGTCAAAGCGAATTTTGCATTCGTATTTTTAGAAGTACAATATGACAGTTTGACGTAACGTCAAATGAAAATTCGTTGCGTACAATATGGACGTTCACCTTTAAACACTTAGACATGATCCTTCAATTTTATATGGGGCATATTAAACAATGGCCCATCCACAAGTGAGGTATGTCGTACATATTTTGTTTTTTTTTTTGGAATAGTTAGTGTGTAATTTTACACTAACAAACTTAAGTAGATATTAAATCAGAACAGCAATTCCGGGTTGAAAATCCATAATATAAGCAATACTGAATGTACAAATCCATATAATATTAACGTTATGTCGATATATTTTTACATTTCCTAGGCTGCCTATTGAGGAAGGTGCTGACTTTTCTAGTCCAGATCAAACGATACTGTCTGTAGCGTCGTCACTGCCAACATCAGTGCAATATGATAATAATAACCTCAGGTCGGAACTGATCAAACTCGGTTTCCGTCCAGGACCAATCCAGGATTCGACCAGAACATTATACTTGAAGAAATTGCAAGCGTTGAAGAAAAACCCTATTGTTATCAGCAGTCAAGGAAAAAGTAAGTTAATTTTATTGTTATTTTAATTTATTATTATATCACTTCATATCTTAATAATCTTATCTTATTAATATTATCAGAAACTTAACTTTATTTTTCTTGTAAGAAAACCAGTGCCATTGTATTTCTTAATTAGTGTAGTAAATTATTAGGTTCATATATATTAATATAGCAAATAATAATTTTCTATTAAATACTTCATAATTAATATGATGCGCGAAGTAAGGCACGCGTTTGGTTCTCCGAATCGGAATTCTAAAACAGAAAATCTAACACGGACAACTAATGTTTGCCAGAGCTGTATCTAGAGCCCACATCAGGATCAGGGCAGTGTCAAAATTATATTAATATAATACAGTTAAAAAAAAAACAAACTTCACAAAATTACTTTTTTTTATATATTATAAATCTGCGCTTGATGTGTGTGACCAGACTTATTAATCTCGAACGTGATCATAACTTATTAGAATTTCATTGAACGATACAAAAAAGTTTCATCTGTATAAAAAAAAAACAATCTAACTTGACATATACACTCTTACGAGACATGATACGATATTTTTCATTTTACATTTAGAAAATTATTCATTCACTTGACGTTGGCAGAATTGTGCGAAATGCCATTAACAAAAGAATAAGAAACACATCTGAAGATTTTTCTGTTTCTAAGAAAACGAATTTTAGTCTATTTCCTAAATGCTAATACTAATCTAAAGAAACGCATTTTTCGATAATTTTGATGCAACGAAGATAGCCCCTGACACTGTCTCTGGTGTTCAATTAATCTTCACAAATATAATTCTAACAAAATTAAAACAACGATTTGAAATGAAAAAAATAACAGTATTTTCGTTAGAGGCAAATAGCCCTCAGGTGTCAAATTGATTAGTACGTGTCTATGGATGCAATCATGACATAAATGAAATTCCAGTATTTTTATTATCATAATGGTTATTAGAGAATTAAAATTATCTCGTGAAGTCATAAATAAAATTTTACTATCTAAAGGTTTACTTAAAGGCAAGTACAGACTGGTACGAATACATACTTATTAGATAACACGAAACCGCACCAAACATATCACAATAAAGGAAATAGTAGGAAGGTTCTTTACAAAAACATTAATTTAAAATTAAAATTCTAGCCACAATAATAAGATTTTTTAGTTTAGAGAGTCTACATAAACTCAACAAGCTGTTTTCTCGGGACTTCACTCGCGTAAATGATAGCCTAAGTTGATATCCGCGTACGATAAAGCTTCCCGTAGGTGAAAATTTTTTTCTGTCTTAAACAAAACGTCTTAAAAGTCTTAAAAAAAGAAAACAGTAGTGCCTGAGCCTATCCGAAGCAAACAAACAATCAAATCTTTCTTCTTAAGAATATTAGTGTAAATAAGCTTGATTTAATCATAGCACATCAAAATGATTGCAGCTTACAGTATAGAATTAGAAAAATCCCTCCGCACAGATGATTGGACTAAGAATTTGGCACCCTACATAGAGTTAGAGAAAAGAGTGAAAGCAGATTTCGCCAACCCATCCAAGAAATGGCGCGAGGGCTCCGCTAAAACCTCGTTCACATATCTGCTACTCGACCCCCGTATTACAGACGACCTACCTTCGAAAGCGGCCAAACAATCCCAGCATTTGTCGTGGATCACGTTTGTCAATTCAATATTCTATGTTGGAAAAGGTAAGGTTGATATTTGAAACACATGACCATAAATATAATCACTCGGAGATCTTTGAGATATTAGGAGTATTTACCCAATTCTAGGTGTTCCGATAATCCCCTTTTCTCTGTGGGTAACAGAGATAAATAATTAAGACCCAATTTAATAAAAGAACGAATGAAATGATAAAAAAATTGCTTTAAGCGAAACTAAACCTAATATTCATTAATTAAAGGATTCAAGCATAACACCATCAGGCAATCTACCAACTAATACCTCTCTGACCCCCACTGAGTGTGAGTGAGATGGATACTTAATGCTTTGCATATTACGCCTTATGGTTATTGAAAAAAGGCTCGCTATACATTTTAATCGTATAATTGGTTATCGATTGGAAAGTCTGCTCTATACCAACGAATATTCATGCGGCATATAGTTGGAACTGACTGCATACATATAGCAGTAACTATCCAGTGGATACACTTGCTGCCTTTGTCATTCCTTGCCGATGCCTAAGCAGGCGTATAACAAATTTCTTACTTTCAGTTGGTTATATCAAGAAGGAACATAAAAATTAGCTGTGTCAAAATGTGAATTTATAGAATTTTCTCTATTATAAAAGTCCATTGCTTAATTTTTTTTTAATAATAAAGGTAAATTAATAGGTATTTGACTTCACTTTGTAAGTTAGGACTACAATGTAATGTGTTTATAATAATTATATGCGAGTAATTACGTTAATGCTTTGACTCGCAATTTGCCCTCCTCTGTCCGTCGCCATAGGGCCAGTATTTTGTCTTTACACCCAGCTTTAAAACTGTCAAACTTTGACTTAACAATCCATCTGACTATTGGTATCCCTATCTAATCGATATTTTAAATATTAGTATAATATATTGTTTCAAGCTGAATTTCGGAATAAAAATTAATAAAAATCACAAACCAATACAGTGGTATTTACTCAATAAAATTACAAATATAATCTAATAACAAAATACACACTTCAACTTCACTATTCACGTCACTATCAACAGTTGTAGCTCGGTGGTGTAGTGGTTAAGCGCCGCGGCCCGCGATCGTTGTCGTTAAGCAACTTTCGCAGGGGTCGGTCACGGGATGGGTGACCAAAGAATTATTATCTCGAGCTACTCCGTGCTTCGGAAGGCACGTTAAGCTGTTGGTCCCGGCTGCATTTGCAGTCGTTAATACCCTCCAATCCGCATTGGGCCAGCGTGGAGGGTCATGGCCCATCCTCCTTAACCATCCATAAGGAAGGCCTGAGTCCCTGCAGTGGGGACATAAAAGGGCTGATGATGATTCACGTCACTATCGTCACAACACAACACACGATCGTCCAAACAGTTTACTGCACTAGTTATCGCTTTGAAATTCGCTTGTTATCGCTCTCGTATTCAGTTCACTGATAACCGAAAGAATGCCGGGACGGGCAGCTTACCGAGTATTCATAGGGGCTTAGGTACACTTTTCTCATCAACGTTTAGAATATTCTCGTTCTCCTGGTCTCAGCCCTATCGGTGTATTCGCGTCATCACCAAAAAGTTTTTGAACGACTACGAAACGCATAGTCTATGTAGTATATATCTAAAATATTAACTAGCAGAGAATGTCTAAGATACTAAGTACGCCAATGGTCTATTGTGCGCAAAACATTAAATAATAAAAGTCCATATCCTTAACAATTAAGTTACACAAAATGGAATTAAGATTTCTATAACTATTCCAGGTAAGCGGTCAAGACCTTATTCGCACCTATACCAAGCCGTGACTCTTTGGAAACGTGACTTTACATCTTCCAAAGACAAGAAAGTTCAAAAGATATTAGACATTTGGTCGGACAAGGTCGGTGTGATCTGTTTACATATCTTCCAAAATGTGATTCCGGCAGAGGCGTATACTTACGAGGCCGCCATGATCGACGTGTTAGGTGTTGCCAATTTGAATAATTTAAAAGTGGGTAATTACTATGGTGTTGCTGCTTCTTTGCCTCTGAAAGAGAGACGTATGCTCGGTTTGTATCTACTTTATAAGGCTATGCAAATTTTTATAAGCGAAGGAGAGAGGCAGTTACGGCCTGACGATATTGATTGATTAATGAATGATTTTGATTGATTCAATGTCGTTTGTTATGAATCGGTTGTGATGTTAATATTTTCGAGCAAGAAAGAGAAAAAATTCTACATATTATTTTTTATATGTAGCATTTCATTTGGAGTTTGTTGTAAATTGTTTTTCATAAGTTTTCTTTTTCATCACGTGCCAATAATTAATTTAATTTATAAGGTTTTGTAAAGTATTTTTGTAATGTATTCATTTTAAGATGTATGTATTTGGACAAATTTAACTATTTTTGTACTTAACTGACGCTGTGATCTTAAATTAACTTGACATGACAATAATAACTAAATTAATGTACAGGTTAGTGTTTCAAAAACTTTTTTATTCACTTCATTTACATTTTAATTGATCATAATATCTCACGATAATTATATCACAGCACGCATTTTATTGCTTATATGATTATTATAAATTGCTTATTGAAATATTATAACCGGTAAAGAAAATGTACGACTGTTTAATTAAAAAGAACGCGTTTTCATTTGATTATGCGAACTAAATATAACTATACTCCATGATACACAGTAATAAGCCATACAACTATATAAACTACCAAAGCATTGCTTGTAAATAGACTGTAATGGTAATTTCAAGTATTAATAGGGTCTTCGACATTTTTTCAAGGATCTAGTCTGTCTAAAATGTGTGAAGTACTCTGCAGAATATTTTTATAAAATGGTTAACTATAATTGTTTTCACTTTTAAATTTAGCTTTTAACCGATCCTGTCAGTGTACGACGTGCATGACATCACTTATCATGTTGCTCAACCGGTCTCAGTCCACCCGAGCCTCTTGTCCTGGGGGCCTCCAAATGGCTGCAAGTTCCCTTGATCAAATCATAAATTGGAGTTGTACTGCCTGTCTTTCTTACGGCCAGTTTCGTAGTTTTAGCAAGTGTCTCGGAAGCGGGGTGTAAACGCGTTATCAAGTTTCTGCCCCGGTTGGAAGTTCCGAGCCCGATGCCTTATTAGTCATCCACTGCAGACCAGATTGATAAAATTACCGATGGCCTATGGAATAAGAACTACATAAAATATTCAAAAGTATGTTGATTATAGCTAGGTATAACTTTCAGCAAAGTTTTGTAATGTCTTTTATTAAGAACGTCACTGCATGTTATGACTTTAAATTGTAACAAATGTTTATTTCTTTTTTCCTCATTACCAACAATCAGTTCGTTCATTTCATGGTTCATAAATATTTTGTATTCAGTTATTTGTATAGTTGAATACAAAATGTTTTTTATTCGGTTAAATTGTTCTGGTAACCCTGAAAATGACAGTGACCTGTGACGTCGAAAAATGATTATTTTTAAAGTTAAAGAAATATCGATTTATATCCTTATCGAAATAAGCAAAGTCCGTTTTTTATTATTATTGAAAGTCCCGTTAACAAGCAATATACAAAACATAATTTACTATTTGTTTTAACTTTTAAATTTACGTTGTTACTATGTCCAAGGCCCTATTACCTCTGTACCTAATGAATTTATTTTAGATTATAAGACAGCTGGTCGGTTCTTTTTTCCGTTCTCGTGATTATATTAATCAGGTGCGATAATATAAATGAATAAATGCATTTCTTTCCATTCACATTACCAAACACAGAAATGTTTTTACACTGATATATTTCAATTTTGATATATTTTATTAAAAATATTATACAGTAAGAACTATTCGGACATCAGTTAAAAAGTATTTTTAGGTAATGATCTCAAATTATTTTTAACATGAAATAAAAACAAATTCAACATAAAATAATTCGAAAGGCAAGTACAGTTTGTCTAAAAGCTTCTTTAAAGCTCCGCTTACACAACGCAAGAGTCGGAAACTGATACAGTTTTTTTTATTAGTGTAAGTCACATTTGTACAAAAACACAAAAACTAGCAGTATTTTTTTTTTACTTTACAATAACATGTGTATAATTTATTTTATCATGATTAAGCTTTAATTTTTATATGCCCTAATGTATGCCGTCTAATTATAAGTTACCATAATATTCTTTGATATGTAAAGTTTGTTTCAAAACCAATTTAATAAAATTGTAATTTAATTACCTGTACCTACCTACTTCGTTTTAATACAAGAAACGAACATTGGAATACAGATCTCTAGTTCTGTTGGTATTTTAGAGTATAATTTTATTGTTTAGAGTCTGCATTGATAAATGAGAGATTTCATTGTAACGTGTGCCACATTATATTTTTTTAATATAAACCCATTTATCGCTATATTTTGTTTAAGCTGCGGCTTCAATGCGTAAATTAAGCCCGTTAATCTACCAAAATGAACAAATATATGAAAATGATGCAGGTAACTAAATGATAGAAGACCCAGAAGAAATAAATTAAATAGAATTAATTAGTTACGCGGTAGAGCCGCTGTTCTTTCTGTTTATTAGGATTTTATAGTGTTATATAAATAGTCATTAAAAAAGTTTGTAGTGACGGTGCAGAATCAAATAATTTCGTTGGATAATGGAATCTCCCGTCACTGGTTACTTGGGCACCGCCTAGAACACCGAAGTTTTTCGTTGCAATCGGAACCTTATTTAAATGAAGTTAGCATTGCATGTCATACAGTTGACAGTGTGATCTCGTCGTGGCTTAATGAAGAAAAGCGAATGCTAAAATCATTTAAGTAAAGGATTATATTTTCGATTGGATATACAATCACATAGACGCAAAATATAATACAGTGTTATAAATGCGAGATATCTATTAACAAATCATTTGAATTTTCATAATCGACTGCAGATTTGTACCTAATTTAGTTTTATAATAGATTTAGTCATATTTTCTAGTGTTAAGTTCACTAAATTACGTTTATTCGAATTGGTTTGAAATAAAACTTAATATTGTCCCTTCCTAGTCAAACGTCACAATTTCCATGCATAATTTCGCACATGACATTAATATTTAACCAATGTAACATTATGGATATGAAATAAAACACATCGATAAGAAATAATTTATTTTTATTATTCCTTTTTTTAACGTCTCGAGTTCTTTTCTAAGAAAATCAAACTTGGATTTAGTTACATCAAAAAATACACAAATGTTTATTAATATAGATACATTTTAAATACAATGACGTGTACCAAACCAAGTCCGCACTGGGGTCTGATACAAAATATTGAAAGCGTAATATCGCGTGTCAGCATTACACATCAATGTAGTCAGTACATATAAAGATATGTTTTATTTTCTCATAAAAATATTGTGTTTTACATATCAATAAAACTATTACGAAAGCCAGCTACAGTAAAATACAACTAATGTAGATCAGTATAAATTATTATTTAAAGTCTTCCGAATTAGTAGATCTGCTCTGTGCAAACGAAGATTCGCCATATTTATTTGGTTGTCAAAGCCATCACATTTTAGGATCCAAATATCGGTACAGTCTTGATATATTTTTTTTAGAACTAACGGCAGTAGTTTAAGTAGGACAAATAAGTTCCACGCTTATTTTCAAACATTTTTTTTTATAATCTCGTAAGTTATTTCTGGATTCTATTAGGACTATATAACTAGGCCATTACCATTATATTTCGCGAAAATATATACTGACTACACTGATGGTGATAAAACGAAACCATCAGTCTATGCATTCCACTGATGCACCGAGCATTGCATTTGAGATCATGATATCTTTTCTGCTCATGCTCTCCATTATACATTCATACTAGGATCAGATAAAATATGCCTGTTGACACATAGGTAAAATTGTTTACAATCCTCAAATAATTAGTGGACAAACAGACAAAATTAGCAGTTTCGATGATGCATAAATTACATAACGTATGTGATCTTTCACATATACATTTAAAATTTGTGGTTTAGAACATAGTTGACATAAAAAAGAATATTTCACATTGGCTTTTTGTCAGATAGGATTAGGCCCTGCATAAAGATTTATTAACCATTTCGATTTATGATTAAGAAACAGGTACATGTGTATAATGGCTAAAATTTATTGAAACTAATATTGTTTGTTTAACTACAAGAATATTTAATTTGATATTCTCTAATGTGTGAAATAATATTTGTCTACTAAAATACGAACTTAATTTATATTCAGACCAATTCACTCTATACATTTAAAAATGTAGCATTTCTAATGTTTTTTTTTATTATTAGCAGTTTTGTGAAAAATAAACACAAACAAAAAGAATATGAAATGGATTACAAAATCTCAAATTAACTGGAAGACTTGTATCGAAAAATATCATTTCACATAGCATACGACATTAAATTACACCTAACGCTAGATGAATGTTAAAACAAAAGTTAAAAAGAAACATATTGATTTTAGCATTATTATAATGCAATTATTGTTTTTCTACAATTTTAATTGTATGTTTTGTTCAACATAGCATCAGATTAGGAGGCTAAATGCAGAATAACGGCACACAATACATAACAATGTTGCTACCACCACAACAGACAATTTAGGAAAGATTTATGCACAAATGAAACAATAGAAATTTGTCTTATCATTTGTGTAGTTCAACTGAATTGGAAACTAAATTCTGACATTGAGTAGAGGCCATATGTGGAACTATTATAGTAAGAAATAGTGAAACTCTAATCCCTTGTATGCAAGACTATCGGACTAAGAGATTTATAATTTATCTTTAAAAGCCAGACATAAAATACACATACAGCAATGCCCAAACACTCCACGACTCTATAGGATGCTCTCTACGTTTTACATTATAAATCATTCATCACTATAATCGAGATAGAGTATGATTTGTGCACGCTACGACTCATGTAATGATCACATTGATGCCTTTAAACTTATGTTTTATAGTTACTTATATTTTAATTATTAACCTAACGCATTAATCTAGGTACGTTCGCTTTCTTTTGGAATGCAGTAATCATAAATAAAAGATCTTAGTATGCTATATTCGCATGATATTAGAAATTTGTAGGGGCTTCAAACATCAGTACAATGCCCAGATGGAGAATTGGTGAATTCGATGTTTATATTACAGTAAAAACCTCGCGGTGAACTAACGTAACGTAATTTACATATAACACTAATATTTACAGAACTAGTTTGTGCTTTCACTAGTAAACATATAAAACAAATCAGACACGAAATTAGGCGACATAGTCCGGTCGCCCACAGGGGAACACCAAAACACAACATCCACTCTTGAGTCACAGTCAACACGACACTTGTCACAAAACAGTTCACTATTTTAGTCACTAGAACATTCAAAGCGCACATCACATACAACGTTCCGTGGGTTACGCGAGATCACAGTATTAGTTTCATCTTCGATATAAGGGTATCGGTGTGGAGATCATGTCCGTTATATGACGCAATACAGAGTCGGTGCGTCAGAGGGCGCGGGGAGCGCGCGGGGCTTCCCCGGGCGTGGGTACAGGCGCGTGCACAGGTGACACGCCTCACTTGGGAGGAGTCGGGAACGAATTCACCACCGCTTGCGTGCTGGCCAGCACTGCCGCCGCTGCAAATTGAATGAAACGGTTACAGTAAAGTCAGTTGTACTTATATTTATAATACACTATTAAAAATTGTAATTAGTTTAGTTTACAATAAGTTACATACAAATTTAGAACAGTCATTAGAGCTGAAAGTCGTAATTAAACTTTAAAGATTGTTTGTACAAATGGCTGTCGTAGAATATTAACGTTTAGCTAATTCATAAGACACAAGATATAAATAGGATATAAAAACTAATTCTGGGGGGTACGAGAAAAAAATTAAATGAAAAAGAATCAATAATAAGAATAGAAGTGAATTTTTATATTTCTCTAAAACAATGCACGAATCAATGATTTTTTTGCTACTCTGTTCCGACGGATTGAATCCGGGCTCTCGATTTTTAAAATAAAAGTGTGTATAGTTAAGTGTATCGTGTGACACTAAAGTGTGTATAGTTGAGTGTCGTGTGTTACTGACCGGGGTATGGGGGCGGGTAGAGAGGGTACCCGAGACCAACGTGCGTGTGGTGGTGAGTGTGCACGTGCCGCTGCGGCGGGGGGCTGCGCGCCGACTCCTTGCCCGCGTCGGGGGCGCGCGGGGGAGGCGCCGCCGCCTTACCCGCCGGAGACTTGGCGTGCTCCTGCAACTCGTGGATCTTGTGGGGCGCGTGACCTGACACATACATACATTAAATTAGCTAAGATTTTTTGCGGTCATTTTGAAAACGGGGAAATTATTACAATGACGAATTGCCATCACAGACAGTTTGATATACTTGAGGAAATTACATAAAAAAATCTTTTATTCAGATATAACAAAACAGTATATTTATCGTTAATGAAAATTCTTATAAAATCCACTTTGTCCCTGGCACTCTGAGATGGGCGATTCGAACCCATGACCTATCGCAATCCGGGCGACTGCTCTAACCACTGAGCTACTCAGGACCAAACAGGACTGACGAATTTTTCAAGCACTTGTTACTTTTTCACCACTACAGAGCGTATTTTCATCAATGTTCAGGCATCCAAACAGCCGAAATATTTTTACCAAATATTTAAACTTTCGATTAAAGATGAAAATTTGTTCTAATTATAATAGAATATTTTTCAGAGTAGCATTGTGAATATAAAATTGATCAAATATATTAAGTATATTCATCGATCTATTGACAAGTCGTAAGACACAAATGACAACAGCTGGGTCTAGTCGTTATGAAAGCTCAGTAGCGATGGTATAATTATCTTTACTCAATACAATTTTCGAAAAGCTTATATGACTTAAGATGAGTGATAAATTTATTATCGTCGTGTGAGCGAGCATTGTTCGCACGAAAGTAAATATCTGGCGGCGGTTGGAAATTAAAAGGTGTGTAATCGATAATTAAAATAATAAACATAAATAATTATATATATTTTTAATTATCAATATATAACCAATATAATCGAAGTATAAAAGACGTATGTTTCTAAAGTAAAAAATCAATAATCACGCGTTTGAAAGTAGCATACTTTCTTTCGCGCCATTTTTTCTCCTGATCTTGACACGATTTTGATATTTTGTTTGTGAAAGTATTATAACACTTACATTGTTCCTGTTTTTCTTGTTATATAGATAGATTACTGAAAAAAGACATTTATATTTTTATTCTTCATTTTTTATAAAAGTATATTTTATAGAAAGCATATTTACGATACTCTACAGAAATCGCGAATTCGTATTACAGCTAACTTTACCTAATACACGATAAAAAAATTAACTATCTTCTTACATATCTATATAGTGTAAAAAGAAACCTTTTCAATGATATATAACACATAATATAATACTGAATAAAAAAGTTTCACGTGCATACCGATCTAGGTCGTCAGTAGTAATGTAGTTCAAGGTTATTCTTATAGACGATAAACGCGAATCGGTAACCGATAATGAACTCTATTACGATGCACTAACGGCGTTTATTGTTTGTATGTTTCTGATTTGATGTCTGTTGATTTTGAAATTTCTTTACGAAATAAATAAATGAAAATGGAAATATTATATGCTAAAAATTATTTCTCGACAAATGACCTTTGTAATGATGTATGAATGTTATGATTTTTATTTGTAATATGTAGGTAAAAACGAATTTTTGCCGCGGATTACGTCATGCATATTTTTTAGTCTTTTACGAAAGAAAGTTATCTGAATTCAAAAACTATATACAAAAACGGATTCTTTGTGAAATTATCTTTATACTTATATGCGATTATTATAGATTTTTATGGTTTTATCATATAATATGAACGTTAAGAAATAAATATTTCTGTTCAACGGAGGTAGGAGCTGACCCTGCCTCTGATGCACAGATAATCTTTACGGATATGGTTTTACCAAAATTACAAGAACGATTCGGCTTTTCTTCCTAGGACAAATAGAATGGGCCTTCAAGTGTAATGTTAACATGAGTTATACATGCCTTTGCTGTTTATAATATTTGAGTTATTATATTTGTTATCGGATTTTGGTTTTTAGTTAATTGTTGGGATTTTATTAAGACAATAATAATAAGTTCGAAATGACAACTTTATAACTATTCAAGGCTGTAGAAAATCATACCATGTTAATTATAAAATTAACAACAATTTAGTTGAACATACCAGCATGTCCCGTGTGCCCCGCGTGTCCCGCGTGCCCGCCGTGTGTCCCGTGCCCGCCGTAGTACTGTGCGCCGTGTCCCGGCAACAGCTCCAGTTTCCCCGGCGCGCCCGGCCTAGAGAGATCCTCGGGCGCGTGGTACCGGGGTACCGTCCATCCACCACCAAACCCACCCACTAGCATAGGGCTTAATGGCGGTCTGTAGACAGTGTCGAACGGTAATGCACCATAATGAGGCGGCTGCATGTAAGGAGGGAGGTAGTACTGTGACGTAGGCGGCGGCGGAGGCCCTTGTGTCTCCGTCGTAGGCTTCTGACCTTCCTGCTTCACCTGAGCGAGAAAAATATAGGTTGAATACAATCCATCATAAAAATAAAACCAGTGCCGCCGGGTCTATTGCAACCCCGGGCTGTTTATTTCAGTTAGAGTGACTTTTAAGAATAATAAAATAAAATAATCATAAATGTATACCTATTTATCTACAGCATGAAAGACTATAATTTATCATTAGAAATTATAATTTACATAAGAGATTGGTAATTTGCTTTCAGAATTCAAGTTATGTAGAATGTTATTTTTAATAATTCATAAAAATTATTATTATTTATAATAGTGGCAATCACAGTGTATTTAAATTTTAAAAACTAAAGAGTGCTTCACTTTTTTAATGCTACAAAAATTTTATTATATATAGCAATATATGTAAAAAAAAAAGAATGACTCATTCATTGTTCCGTCTCACCTTAACTTCCTCCTTGGGCTTGTCATCCTTTTCCTTTTGCGGTGGTTTGAGCGGGTGTTGCGGCGGGGGGCGCGCGGGGGAGGCGCCGGGCGGGGCCCCCTGCGGGATTCCGGGCGGGCCCCCCTGCGCCGGCTTACCGTCACCTCCACCATCTTTCCTTCTCTGTTCTAGCGTCATATAATATCTGGAGACAACAACACAAATCCAGTCAAGCCATCATTATTTTATGAAGTCCTAAAACACTACTGTAGGTCTGTTCTGACTCTGTACCTTTCTCATAATAAGATGTACTCCTAAAATCGACATCTTATATCCTGTTTTATGATCTGTTCTATTCTTTGTTGTGAAAAAGAACATTAATCAGAGTAACGCGTACTTAAACGCCTACACTTTAAAAAAATTAGGATCTTTCCTTTACCCTTGGAATTGCATTTGATTTCCTAAAGGTCCGGAAGGGTTTACGTAATGTATCGTGCAAGCTTTAAATTTAAAGAGATAAGTAGCGTACAGCTTCAACATGGGTATGACATGTTCATTTATATCATAAACAAAGTTACAGTACTTGATGGCGGGTATGAATAGATTCTGATTTGAAACGATGGTTCGTCTCAAATTGCAATACTTTGTGCCAAAGACATTATTGTGCTAAATTATCATTTGCAATAAATACTCTTTTAATCAGAGAAGATTAGCAATTATATCTTTATTATAATACTATTCCAATTATTAGAGTAAAAAAAAATCATCTACATTATGATTTATTACCCCAAAACGGATCCAGCTCAGCATATGCTGGTAGAAGACTATCAGCGCAGATCTTCATTAAGAGTATTCAAACAATTTACCTTCTCAACTCGTCTTCTCTCGCATGAGGTGGCCTTTGAAACGCATACGAGCCCATCTGGGCCTTCATCTCGATACTCTCCTTCAATATTTGGTGGTTATCATTCGGTCTGCCTTGACTATCTTTGCCATCGTTAGGCCTCGGCTGCTTACTCTTGTCTAACGGACTAGGAGTTGTCTTAGAGCGGTCATTGTCTTTTCCCTTGTCTTCTAGGGGGGCGCCCGGGGGCGGCCCTCCTGGCTCCACGTTGTAGGGAAAATTCGGAACATAATTGTACGGGTAGAAATGCTGTGGCAACACCTTTTGAGGACCACTGTCTTGTTTGTTGTCCTGTAAATTGAAAGGTTTGATTTTAATCAGCTGATTAAAAAGGTAACACGAAATAGTTTATACAAAATAAGGACTTTTGTATGATTTAAATCTTACTCTAATTGGATGAAATTTAAAATAATTAATAACAAAAAAGATAAGCAATCTTATGCTAATAAATCGTTAAAACAAATGTAGTTTAGTTTATTATATTGGTACACTACAAAAGTTTATAACATATGAAACAGGTTTTAAATAAAATTTTAATTTTGTAATATCAAATCAACTGAGTTGTAAAGATAAAGTTAATGGCTTTATTTTAAATTAATGAGATACTTAGGTATCAATTTAAAGGTGACTTAGAGATTTGGTTATATCCATTATTTACATAATAAATTTATTTCGGTATAATGATATTGGGATTAAATTTTTTTATATAGATATTTGTTTTTCAGAGAAACAAATCGACTGGCACATTAATCTTGTGACATTATATAGAACTTATTATTTTGGAACTGATTTATGATAATCTTTAGGTGTAATGGCAAATCCATTAATATATTTAAATAGTGGGAATGCAAGAAAAGTGTCTATACGCCGTAAGTAAGCGAATGCGAAACGTCTGCGAAACTGCGAATTACGACAGGGTTCTCACCTTTTGAGAAACAGAATTCGTGGTATTCGGATAGTCATCAGAAACCAGGTCGGGTGACAACCCTGAATACAAAACATTGTGCATCTGTGTAACGACCTTTTTGGCAGTTGACTGCACAACTGTACTGACAAGGACGCAGCTATTTCATCGAGCTAATAATAGACCGAGACAAAGCATATGCGAAATATTGCCATATAACTAACAAGATTTCGCAGATGTTTTACATTCGCATACAATTGCGTCGGTGTACTAACGGCGTAAAGGATAATAACAACATTTAAAAATATAACATATTTTTCTGAATACTACTAGAAGTCTTTGGCTCGTTTACATTAGTCGATGGATTTCACATGCGAAGTGCGGCCAATTTCTGCCGGCTTATTTCACTGATCTATAAACCATTGACCGACCAATGAATACCAATCACAGAAAGCATCTGCTTCCATATGCGGACGATATCGGCCGATATAAACAAGCCAACGATAGTTAATAGCGTTAAGAAGGTATGGTTTTAAACAAGAAGGAGACAAACGAAAAAGAAAACAAGAGGTTAGACTGTTGAAAGAAAAAACGGAATATGGGACAGGGGTTTAAAAGTACCCCTTACTTTGTGATCAATCTTGGGGTCTCCTTTAGTGAGATCATCCTTGGCCTTATCCGTCGCGGGGGCGGGGGCCGAGTGTGCGGGGGGCAGGTACGGTGGTTGTCCATAGTACTAAACACGAAACGTTATAAGTTACATTTTTCAATTAAAACAGTGGTATGATATAGATCTTTAATGTACCCAAATATAATTAAATTATTCTAACTAGTTGATATATATAACTCGTTATTATTATTATATTAGTTAATTCTGCATTCACAATGCTATACTGAAAAATATACTTAATGAAAAATGCTTCACATTCCTCTTAGTCTCTGGCGCTCTGAGATGAGACGCGAACCCATGACCTATCGCAATCCAGGCGACTGCTGTAAGCACTGAGCACCTAACAGGACTTATGGGTTCGAGTCCCATTTCAGAATTCCAGAGACAAAGTGGATTTTTTAAGCATTTTCCGTTAAAAGTATAAGTCCATAATGACTTATACTTTAAACGGAAAATGCTTAAAAATAAAGTTCGAAATTGATTTCATAAATTTGATATTTTGTAGTAACCTCGCGTGCGCCTGTGTGGATTTTTACGATGATCAAATATTGCCTTAAGCTCGAGAAAGAAATAGCTTCGAGGAATTTCTTAAAGTATAACGACAATAACCCCTTTGCCTCAACAAGTGGCGCATGCTGATAACGCTTTTAAATTTATTTAATACTAAGCTCCGACAGTCTATGCTCCGCTGTGGCTGTACCGATCGAAAATTTATGCCAAAACAGTTTAAAGACTTTAATTTAAAAACTGCTACGGTGTATAAAATAGAGGTAATTCATTAATCGGTTTATTTAGTTTAACAATTATTTAAATATTGAAACATTAAAGTATGAAAATAAAATTCCCGGCTGCAAATTGATTTCCGAATTTTCAAGTAATTTTTCAACAAGAAAATTATCCCTATATCAGTATGAGCTATAGATTGCACAAGAAAACTGTTCGAGGCGCAAAAGATATAAATAGTAACTGACCTGGTGGTATACCGGGAACGGTCTGTGCGCGGGATCGGAATCGGCGGCGGGATCGGCCGGGGCGGCGTCGTCGGATATGTCTGAGTAGGCGGGCGACCGCACACCCGGCGTTGGCGACCGTCGACGTCTCTTGCCAGGAGATTCTTCCGCTGATTCGGTGGACTTACGCTCCTCTGACGGCATCAACGCGGACCGGGGTTTCACCTGTCGAGAGAAATGCAAGATAAACGAATGTTTTCGATTGAAAAATCTTGTTTCCGTATTGCTATTAGGTTAATGATACAAAGAAAAATCGTATCGATTTCTGTTACCGACTAGAGATAATCTCGGGATGAGATTAATGTGTATGTTACGCTGAAAGATCGAAATCCTCAATATGCGAAAAAATAGTTTACAACGCGTTGTGGTCACAGTAAAATATCCGATAAACAACGCACTAGCCGAGCGAGCAAATCGAGTTTGCCGCGGCAGAGGCTGGCGAAATACCCGAAGCGAAACGCTATTGTAAAATGGAACGGCTAGTTAAACCAATTAATGCTCAGAACGCGTCGTGGCTTTTCTTCAATGGCACAACGCGATGAGGTCGAATTGCATATCAGTCACGACACGGATATCCCTATGTGGTTATTCTGCGATTACCATAACGCGTCATGAGCGTTTCCATTAGTCATAACACGAATTTCGCTATGTAGTTAATCTGCGAATGCCACAACGCGTTGTGAACAATTTTTCGCTATGAGCGATTTTGATTTTTGAGCGCAACATAATAATGTAAACCAAAAGTTATGTACTGCTATATACTGCCGACATCGATACATAGTATGCTTTATTACCTTGAATTGGGTGGGTTGCATAGTGGGAAGATTTTCCGGCGGTGGCGTTGATGGTGCTGGTGGTGATTGCGGTGCTTCCACGGGTGGAGGCTCCGGCGTTGGCGCAAATTCTTCCGGAAAACGTACAGGTTGCGGCGATTCTACGTTCGTATCCATTTGCGCCTTTTCCGGTGACTTCTCCGGGGATTTCTCAGTCTTCGCCTCAGGTGATTTCACGGGCGTCGGAGACTTCACCGGCGTCGCTGGCGTCGCCGGCTCCGACGGAGGTTGCGCGGGAGACGCTGGCTCCGCCGTCGGTTCCTCCTGCTCCGAACTGGAGCCATCTTTGTCATCATCATCTGGAGTACCGTGTGCGTGCGACCTGTGATACTTCAAGCCGTTTGCATGTTTGTACTTCTTAGAGCAGTTCGGCTCTGGACATTCAAGAAGGACGGGGTCTGGGGGCGGCGATGAGGGCGTAGGAGGTGGACGCTTCGCTTTAGGCGTTGGCGGTCTCTCCTCTGCTTCGGAAGTGCGTTTCCGCTTCGAGTCTGGCCGCGGCGGCGTGAACGGTGTCGGCGAAGGCAACGCTCGACGTCCCTTAGCACCACCGTTCCTAAGCTTACTATGGACTGAGGATCGAGTCTCCGTGAAGTTTGTCATATCCGTAGGCGCGGCGCCTCGTCCTCTCTTCGCTCTGCCTTTAGGCGTCCGCGCGTCCAACTCTTCCGTCGGCGAATCGCAAAAGCTGAAATAGAAATCATAATACTATTTATTACCTATCAAATTGATAATTAAGTCTTACAAATCGCCACGCTGTAGCGGTTAAGGAAAGTCGTGTCGTGATTAACGTTTATTACCGTGGAGGCGCCCAGTCATGCCGCGTGCAATCGAGTAAAGTTCCGACGTAGGTCTTCCCTCGCCACGTCACGTTCACCACTAAAACACCTGCAACAAAGACGTGAACCGTTAAATTTATGGCTTCTCAATACCCGTCAGTGAGGGTTACGAAATAAGATTAGGTGGTGCGTTAAGTTACTATTGGGTGTTATTGGAGTTGGCGTTAAGAAAATTGATGCAGTCTATGTGGGTAGGTTTCAATCCAATTTGTCACGGGTCCTCATTTGCATATTAAGGAATGAGAAAGGGGCGTAGAGGTCGTATTCGCGCGGACGTGAGTCCAACCGCATATTTGAAGGCACCCGTTCGGCTCCTGCCACCCCAGTGCTTATCGCTCTAGCGTGTCAACTTATGCAAATTTAATTAATCAATCCCACCTCCCCTTTATTCATAACGCGTATTTCCCCCCTCTATTTTTACAAAAGTTTCTTTATGAATCCATAATGGATCGAATCTTATTTTCGAGTCGCATAGCCATTGTTATTCTGAAGCGAGTTAATCTTCTTGCCCGCAAAATGTTTTTCGTAAACAAGATGAACAAATTGAGATAAAAATGAGGGTCTCGGACAATCCCTTTTTAATCCCGGGCGGGCTATTGCGGAGACACGACTTTATGTTACGTGAATAAAAACTCGTTGAATTGTAAATAAGTAACTCCTTGACATTTTTAAGAGGTTTAATTAAATTTTGCGGTTAATACATCTAAAATTTTGTATTTTGATATTTTTATGATTTATAATGGAAACGTACTTTTACAATGCCCTCATAAATTTAAAAACCTGTTTCAGATTAACAGGCAAAATTTTAATACATACAGAAACTAGCAATACACAACCATTACAAAATTACAGACTACTTAATTAACTACGATTACTATGATTACAATATACCAGAATAGAACGAAATTTTTTGAAACGGAAATACATTGCAGAACATAATCGAATAGAATAGAAAAGAACAGGATATAATATATTAGTACGGAACAGAACGGAATAGAATATTTAGTATTAACCTTTCTTTACAATAGATTCACTCTAAATTAAACTAAAAGCAAAGCATCTAATTATTAATAAAAGCATCAGGAATTGGAATTCAACTATGAATTATGATAAGAGTAGTATATACTTATATATATCAGCACATCACGTGACAACAAAGTATACATATAACCGATTTCAATTATTTGGAGAATTTAAACAGTTTTGTATAATCTAGTGTGATCTTGGCTGTACAAAAAATGATTACTAACAAATACTACATAAAAATGTGTGAACACGCAAAAACTACTGAATGGATATGGTACACGGATAATTCTCAGTCTAGATTGACATATAGGCTACTTTTTATCCCACTAAACTGTTCCCTATGGACCACGCGGACGAAGCCGATGGTGGAAAGCTAGTTCAAATTAATATAAAGAGGTTTTCCTCTATAAGTTAGAGTATCGATCGTGTCGATCACAAGCAAGGTATGAAGAAAATAAAAAAGAACAATTTTTAGATTATACCTATTTAACAGTTTTATAAAGTGAAATTAATTGACTTGATAAAAATATGCTTTTTTAATAATACTTTATGCCGATCGTGTATATTCTGTATTCCCATTTTTTTTTATCATAACCATTTAAAACTAAATGAATGGGCCTAACCTCGTAATGTAGGGCAACTTTTTTCTACATCTCTAAAATCTACTAAAATAGAAAAAGTCTATACTTGATTTACTATTCAATAACTAACTAACAATAATAAATTTGTGTACAGATGATTCTTTTGTCCTGTATGTATATTAAGTTCTTATAATTTATTCATACGACCTGTAAGCGTATTGAATAAACAAATAACAAGCATCAAACGATATATCGAAATATGTTAATTAAAGTAAACATTTTTTTATTAAAAACCCTTCGGAGCGGTTGATATGTAATGTATTCATACATTTTATATTAAAATAGAGTCCTCTAGTAGATTTAATATTTACAAGCTTATTGTTTCAAGAACAATAGACATATAAAACATTATCTGCGATTTAATAGATATAAAACGATTGAGATATTTTGCTCGGTTAGTTTACAAAGTATCCAAAATAATCGAAAGAATATAAATTGCTCATATGGAAATATGTGCACATTGTTTTTTTATAACAAATGAGGACATAGGGCGTAATATTGTCAAATCCCGCTAACTGCTAGTACTTAAAGGAACGAATTTAGATTATTTATTCAAACGCTAAATTATTAGAATTCAAACGCTTGAATTTTCATAAATATCAAATCAGGGAATTACATTAAAAAGGAAATGAAAGAAATAAACACCCACATTGAATATTTAAACGTGATACCCTCTGATTTAGCTAGGCAACCCTTAGGCTTATTATCTAATTTTAAAGTCTTTCCCAATCCCTTTCAAATATACATCGATGGTGATAGCGTTTTATGGAATGATGTATCGCCTTTGGAACGAAACTTAAAACTATAATTCATATGTTAAATGAAATCTTCATATTTACTAAGGTAAACCTTGATAAACTGTACTTCGATTAAACAAAGAAAGACAATCAAATTACTATGTCTCGAAACGATATTTAAGTTGCCGTCACAGATGGGCTTGCCGAACGAGTTCGCGGCGGAGTCCTCAGGAAATTGTCGGGTCGCCCCTCGCACTTTTATTATTTAGGGGTTGAGTTCCCTCGTAAATGGATAATACGGACCTCCGGTCACGGAAAAGTTAAATTAGACTGCCGTCCGGTTGTATTCGGTTGTCTGTAATCGGTTCGATTTGTACCGCACGCCTAATGGCCGCGACACGTCATTAGACATGTCGTTAGCGTATTGCGACTAGCCGCTATCATTAAACTGTCGTCTATGTTGTTATTTGTCGTTGTAATGATATTTTCTGACTTGTAAACAGTTACTTGGAATACGACTGAAGTTGTAATGGAATTTAAAATAGCCAATTTGATTTGATTGAAATTAAATTATGTATTATGTAGATGACTTACACAAAAAAATATTATAAATATCATTTCATTTGCTGAATACTACTTTTACACACGTATCCGATAATGTATTTAAACAAAAGCACTAATTTAATATAGTCCTATTTGGATAGCGTAGGAAAACCAGGAGCTCAGAGCGCAGGAATAGGTTCATTCGGCGGTGCTAATTACGCCTCGGTTGTGGTAATCAGCGGCCTAATGGCTGACGTGCCCTCGCTTCCCGGGAAACGCTTTGTTCCGACCAACTATTATAAATCCTGCGTCCCTCTGAATTCCTGTTACATTGTACAAATTGCATATGAACGAAAGCATCTCTGAGATTTTTACAGGTTTATTTAATGTTTCGATAAAGAAAACGTGATCTGAACAAGATCGCGTTTTCTTTTTAAGAATGCCGGTTTTCAATCAAATCAAAGACGTTCTAAATAAAGGATATAAGTCAACCAGCATGTGAGCAGTTATTGATTAATTTTCAGA